CTGAAATACAGACTTCCCAAGAGATTCACTTTGGAGGAGGTCATTGAGAGGACGTGACCACCCGGTGACCCAGGAGCTGGACCTGGGCACTCAGAGGCTCCCCACGCCCTCTTGTCCTTGGAATGTTTGCTCTGCCCACCGCTCCCACAGTGGGAGCCTTCTGCAAGGACACAGCCCCGGGAGAATAAGGTGTTGTTGAACTCCCTCCAGACTGAATGCCTACCTGGACCCCATTAAGGCTGCTATAAAAACCTTAAGACTCAGGCAGGCAATACAGTATAGAGGTCTATTATCTTGCAGCTGCTCCAGACAAAGCTCATATGTAAATTTCCTTGCTAATTAAACCTGCCACCTACCATTCAGAAGTGACCTGTTTCCTCTGTCCCCTTGCCCTCCTTGTACCCAGCTGGGTTTCAGATTACACCCGAGAAACTCCCAGGGCTGCAAACCAACAACTCTAATCAAAATTATTACATAATAGGCAGTTGGTGTGACAGGCTCCACCTCCTGGCGTCACTGTGCCTCCTCTGTGCAGCATGCCAGCAGGTTCTCGTTTCCTCCCTACCACTCAGCCTCCAGGGGCATTTGGTTATTCCTGTCTGGTAGATGAGGAAATTGACGTTCAGAAACACCATCAACAGGGTTTTTAATAGCCTGTTGTATGACTTTAAGACCCATCAGTCTCAGGTCTCTGGGCTCGGGGGGCTGGCCAGGTCTTCAGGAAGCCCGGTACAGGTGACCAAGGGCTGTCACCACTTCATCCCATTCACACAGGTTCATGCAGTGCTCATCTCAGAGGGCTTTGCCTGAGGTGTGCATCCCTCCAGGCAAGGAAATAGTTTCCTGGGTAGAGCAGATACTAGTGAATAAGAGAACTCTACCATGCAAAAACTTCAAGATGACTTTTCCTTTTTTACTAAGTATTGACAAAAGCCAAGACCGTGCATCTCACAACTCACTTGGATAGCCTGGTGATGTGACATCTACTTTGTTCCTACTCAAATATTTACACTTTTTAACTCTCCATCCATACGAATGGAGATTGTCTACACCCTATGTTTCTAAGACCTAAGTAGAAGGATTAATTTTCTAGTCACAAAGCAGCCACGCAAGGATGACCAAAAGTTGTAATGGGGGGGTATTTCAGCCAGCTGTAATCTCCAGGCCATCAAATGCATTCACTCGGTGTCCTGTCTGTAGGGGGAAGTGATGAAGAATATCCTTGGGTGTCAGTCAGAAATCAGGCCTGGGTCTGATTTCTGGTGCTGCCACTGAGCAGTGTTGTAGACTTATGTAGGTTAATGCTTTTTCTAAGTCTTAGGTCCCCATTCTGCCATGTTCTAAGAAGCATTGCTCTACCTTTTGGACAGGGTCGGGGGCAGGAATCTAGGCCATTGCTTCCTTGATCTTCTGTTTTGGTAGCCAGGAAAATTAATAGTGAATTTACACACATAGACACACCCTTTAGGGAATGTACCTGTGGCAGGAAATGAATTGCCTCTTCTAGGTCTCAGGAAGGCAACAGTGAAGCATTCATAAGCTTTGCAGTTTGTAACACTTCAAGCAGGTACTCTGAGCTATTATTTAAGATAACTCATTAGGTTTAATGTTCATCTTAACGGCCTACTTATAAGCACTTTTGCTTTCCTTGCACTTTAAAGAACTGGGTTTCATGACTGATTATTGCTCTTACTATAGACTTAATGGTTCCAAATTCTGGGTGATTATCTTTCTCATCTTGACTATTTCAGAAAGTTTTTCTCCATTTTTAAAACTAATATTGATTCAACCGATGCTTACTGAGGTCCTACTGGCAGGTGCGTTGCTGGGTACAAGGCAGATGGATCCAAAGAAAAGTGAAAAGGGGATTCTTGCCCCCAAAGAGCTCATCATCTAGCTCCAAGTGTGGTCTCCAAACCATCAGAGTCAGCATCATTTGGGGACTTGTTAGAAATGTAAATTCTCAGGCCCCACCCCAGACCTGATTACATCAGAAACTCTGGGGTTGACCTCAGCCATTTGTGTTTGAAAAAGTCCGCTTCAAACAACTATCATTGTCATCAAATGTCAAAATAACAAGTATGATAGTTTATTAACTAAATCTCAAAGTTTCATTTATCTTTTGAGGAAACAGAAGCCCATGGACCAAAGGCCACATGAGGTGGAGAAATTGAAACTGGAACTCAGTTACCTGCCCCCCCCCACACACACACACCCAACTCTACATATAGCCAACATCCTTTTTCTTTTCTGATGCTTTAATCCCCAAATCTTATGGGGAACCCCAAGGACTACCAACCCAAAGAAAAAAACCTTCCCTTTGCAAAGAAAACAGAAGAGAAACTACTGTCTTTGAAAATAAGGACCACTAACAAAAATTTAAAACTGATCTATTGAAACCATCCAGTAAACTAGCAGTAATTTCCCAAACCTTTTACACATCCAAGTTCCATTTACAAGACTTGAAAATTGGGAGGCTGGGGGAGAGAAGTATAAAAATACAATGAATAACGTGATCTGAATAAAATCTGGAAAAATATACAGTATGCAGAAGTGTCAACTGTGGTTCGCCTTCCAGGGGAGAATTATAAACGATCTTTTTTCTTTGTATTTTTCTGAATTTTTCCCAATGGTTGTATATTACTTTGGTAATCAAGAAGAAAAGTAAAACTGCTTCTTGAAATGTTACCTCCAAATCACTCAACATGAAGGCTTATTTTGTAATTCCATTTCTCTCCATACAGCAGGATACTGTGTGTAGTAATTATTTATATCATGCCATATGTTACGATGAAGATGAAATTCTGTAAATACATTCCTTCCAGCAGGCACTAAAAATGAAGAGGTTAAATGCTTTCCTAGGTTCAAAGCACTATGAATTAAGATAAGCTAACTGTGAAGCTAAAAGAAACATTTATTGAAATCTCTGAGAGCATCCCTTTTGAAAAACATTGATGTGACACATAGCTCCTTACTCATACCGCCCTGATGTTTAACCCCTGGCACAAAACAGAATGTTCAGCAATTCCTGGCAATGTCTTAGGAGTTCAGGGGATAAAATGCACGGGAAAATATCAGAGAAATAAGAAACAGAGTGATCCTACTTTCATATAAAATTCTGTCCCTGTGGACAAAAAGGCATCCAAAATTACTGGCAAATTTCATTGTCCTTGATACCCTTTAAAAAAATGTTTTTCTTTCTCAAGAAATGTTTGCTCATTTAAAAAATATCTACATCAGTTACCTTACTCAGTGAGCCATATATAAGTAGATAAATAAATAAGAACCGTCTCATTTAAAGAGACATTTCTGCTGCAGAAGCACTGCTGTAATTTCACTTGATAAGACAAATTCATTCCCTTGAAGAAAAGCTAGCATTGTTTTACTGAAACTCTGAGCAAAATAAATTCAGTGAGTGTTAATTAAGCCTTTTAAATGAGGCAGGAAAGTTAAGTTAACCAATGTGATGACTATGAAAAAGGAAATTCTAGCGGCTACCTGTTTTACCAAAATACCTCACAACAGCTGACATTTCTAGAATTTACAGACACTTTCAGGAAAGAATGAGTTGCGGGGGGGGGGTGGATAATATATTAAACCTCAACATTTATACTATCTAAGATCACCAGACTTATGCAACAATTCTCTTAACAGTAGTATTAGAGAACTCAGAAAAAACTTATTATCTTGGGTTTGGCTGTTGAGCATGCAAGCTTTCACTTACACAGGGGCATCCGCCAAAGAGCCTTAAATTTCCCTCAGTCCTCTGCTTACTTTTTTTCACAGAGCAGTCTCACCCACTGCAAAATTGATAAATTAGTAATAATAAATAACATAAAGAATGTACAACTCTCAGAAAGTGTCTCCAACCCCCAGTTCCCACGCCATATAATTACCCACCTGCCTACGCAAATTGATCTACAGACGGCTCCGCGGTTAACATGAAGCTAAACCTAACAGTCCCCTTTCAAACACTTCTTGACAGAACGCACACAAACTTGTGGCTGGGTCTGTAACTCCCTACAGACACTTAGAAGCCTAGTTCTCATTCTTCCGTCTCTCATCCCCCTCTGGTGAGAAAAGGGTCCGATGTGCGGGTTTTGCCTAAGGCTGCCTATTTCTGCAGTCTTACTTTGGGGCTGCTAAAAGGTATTCATTAAAAAGTACCGGCAGACCCAGCTTCTAAGCATTGATCAATGCTGAGGGAACAATCCCAAGCCAACAAGCCCCAAAATACCTTCGATTTGTAACACAGACAAGCCGCTCCTCTCAACAAGAAATAACGTTCCTCCTCCATCAAATTTAAAAATTAAAATTAAATGCAACAGCTTCCATTCTGAACAACACTAAATTTTCTGGGTCACTTTTTTCTGTCTCCCCCGGGCCACGTCTACAGCCTGACAGTGGCGGTAGATAGGGTCTCTTCGTGCAAGCAGTTTAGCTGTCGCCCTAAGAGCGTGAACACCTTACCGTTGCTTGTCCTGCAGCAGGTCCCAAAGGGCTGACCTCCCCCCCCCCCCTGCCCTCCACACCTCACCACCACTTGCTTTCTTTTCCTCCAAACTGCAAAAGGGCGAGCTTCTCCAGAGAAAAACTTAATGAACGTCTGCTTCTGGGGTAAAGGTGCCCCACCTGCTATCACAAAGTCCTAAGACTGGAGGTACCTAAGAGCACGCACCCTGTGCTCGCTGGACCCAGTCAGTGCGCGCCTGGCACCAGAACCCGGGAACATGATTTATATGCAGACCTGCACCCATCCCACACAAGTCCGCACGCCAGCTTGCCTAACCACTTATGTAAGCTCGTGCCTCTACAGTCCCAAACTGCACACACACGCATACACACGCTCCGACACCTGTCACGCATCTGAAATGGACAGCGTCCACACTCAGGGACTCAGATGAAATCAACACAGATGAAGGGGGGGAGGGGGAGCTACCGCCTTAAAACATCTTTCCCCCCATTTGTTTCTTGCCCGTTTTTGTCACAACTACAATTACCTTAGCAACCAAAGAATTGCACTGACTCGCCCTCCGGCTTCTGAATTTCTCCTAAAGCCAAGCCCGCGCCAGGTTCATGGTAAAGCTAGAGAGAAGCCCCGGGGACGGGGGGCCGCAGCCTCCGCGGGCCGGAGGGGACGTCCGAGGCGGCCTCCCCGCGGCTCTCCAGCGACCCGCCGCGTCTTCGCGACTTGCGGCGGCGGCGAGCGCGGGGCTCAGCGAGCGGAGAGCGAAGCCGGGCGCCGGCGAGGAGGCGCGGCGGGGCGCATGGTGCCTGGGCGCGGGGCGCTCGGGGTCTCCGGCGCTCGGCCCTCGCCCGCCTCGCCCGCCTCGCCCGCCCCGGGCCGCCGGGGCCCGCGGAGGTCGGTCCGCCCCCTCGGCGCCCGCCGGTTCCCGCAGCGGAGGGCAGCCGGAGCCGGGCGGAGCTCTCGCCGCGAGCAGGGCCGGGCGCAGGAGCTGCCCCAACTCGCGAAGCCGCTCAGCTCCGCCGCTCGCGAACCGCCGCAGCGGCGCCCGCTGTCGGGTGTGGAGCGGAGCTGCAGCCCCGGACCGCGCGCACCTGGGCGCCGGCACCTGGGCCCCCGAGCCCCCGAGCTGCACGGCGCGGGGCGGGGCCGAGGGCCGAGGGGGCGGGGCCGAGGGCCGAGGGGCGGGGCCGAGGGGCGGGGGGGCGGGGCCGAAGCACCTGCGCGCGTCCCTGGGGAGCCGCCGCCCGGCTCACCTGCTCCCAGCGCCGCGGACCCTGCAGACTGTGATTCGCCCGAGGAAGGGAAACCCTGGAAATTCCTAGCAGTTTAGGTGCCGCCCAGACAACTGGGAGCCCGGCTCAGCGATGCGGAGTCTCCTCCTGTCGGTCTCGAGAGCTGGCCGCGTCTGGAAACTTCAGCGGCGTCAGTCAGGGTTGTCTTAGGGATTCCAGGTCCGGAGGGGTTTGCTCCGGGAGCTTTGAATCGCTTAAATGTAGCTGGCGCCCTCTAAATTAAAACGGGCCACCGCGATCGTCAGGGATATTGTGGCTAACCTCGTCATTTTTATCGATTCAGCATTTACACCACGTGCTGCATTTGGAATGGTTTATGATCATTCGCATCTGGAACACCACAAAAGAATTTTCAAGAAAAATTAACTCTTGCGGGTATTCTTGGGGAAAGAAAGAAAAAAGTTGAAGACAAAAATGAAAAAGGGTGACTTGAACGGACAACATTCTTTAATGTGGGATTTCTGAAATCAGACACTTAGTTAAAAACTCAGGAAGCTGCGGGTGAAAAGAGAACAAGATTCTTGGTGCTGGATGGCAACCATGGATTGGTGTGCAATATCGACGTAATCATTATCAAGAAAGAATTCAAGGTTTATTCTTGAATTGTATTGTGTTACCAGGAAAACAAAAATTTGACATAAAATATCTAAAGGTTTCTAAGGATGGGTGACCTGGGCTGTCTTCATCCATGTGGGTCCAGGGGTTGATATTTATTTTTAAAAAGATTTTTATTTTATTTATTATGACACACAGAGAGAGGCAGAGACATAGAGGGAGATGCAGGCACTTCACAGAGAGCCAGATGTGGGACTTGATCCCAGGACCCCTGGATGAGGACCTGAGCCGAAGGTAGATGCTCAACCACTGAGCCACCCGGGCATCCCCCAGAGGTTGAAATTTAAAGTCTTCTTCCCGAGGTATATCTCCTTTCCCATCATTCTATACTGATTAATGAATATATTCACTCTTCCATTCAATAAGCAGCAATTAGCACCTGCCATGTGTTAGACCCTCTGCTAAGCACTAGAAATTGATGAAATAAGTCCCGCCCTTACCATTCTGCCTAATGGGAACAGTACACAAGCAGATATATGTATTACCTTGGGCTAAGTCATGAAGTGGTACCTCTAAAACCAAGAAGAAAACCTGCAACCTAGGGAAACCACACTTAACCTAGTGAAGAAAATATAATTTCAGTGGATACGCCAGTTATTTCATTTATTAAAATTGAAATATAAAAATTTTCCTTCCCCGGGTTTAGCATTTGGCTTAAGCATCTTTGTAGAGCTGGCTGCAGCTGTTTGTAACACTTCGAGAATAGGATGCTTACTGAGAGATGGGTGGTTATTAGGGCTCTTCCTCTGGGGAGCTCTGCATTTCTGAGACCAACAGTTTCTTGAGGACTAGGCATAAGGGAACAATCATGTGGAAATATAAGCAGTGAGTTCCAGGTGCAACTGAAGAAAGGCCTTACTGTGTGCTTCCCTTGATACAGTAGCATTGAAAATAATAAAATATTTTGGAATAAACTTAACCAAGGAGGTGAAAGATTCATACAGTGACAATCACAAGACCCTCATGAAAGAAACTGAAGAAGATACAAATAAAAGGAAAGATATCCCATGTTCATGGATTGAAAGAATTAATATTGTAAAAACATTCATACTACCCAAAGCCATTTACAGATTCAACATAATTTCTGTCAAAATTCCAATAGCATTTTTCACAGAAGTAGGAAAAGAATCCTAAAATGTACATGGTACGATAAAAACAAAACAAAACAAATAGCCAAAACAGTATAGAGCAAGTAGAGCAAACCTAAAAGCATTACACTACCTGATTTCACAAAGGTATAGTCATCAAAACAGCATGGTATTAGCATAAAAACAGACACATAGACCAATGTAGAGCCCAGAAATAAGCCCACTCATATACAGTCAATGGATATTTGACAAAGAAGCTGAGAATATTCAGTGGGGAAAGGATAGTCGTTTCAATAACCGATATTGGGAAAGCTGGATATTCACATACAAAAGAATGAAAATGGACCCCTCTCTTATACAACTCACAAAAATTAACTCCAAATGTACTGAAGACTTAAATATAAGACACAAAGTGGTAAAATCACTAGAATAAAACAGAGAAAAATCTCTTTGACATTGGGCTTGGCAAAAACTTTTTGGATATGACTCCAAAAACACAAGTAACGAAAGTAAAAATAAACAAGTGGGACTACATCAAACTAACAAGCTTCTGCACAGCAAAGGCAACAGTCAGCAAAATGAAAAAGCAACTTATAGAACAGGAGAAAATATTTCAAGCCATCTAGCTGATAAAGAGTTAATATCCAAAATGTATAAGAACTCATATAATCCAATAGGGGGAAAAACGGTTAAAAAATGGGCAAAGGATTTGAATAGATATTTTTCCAAAGAAGACATACAGATGGCCAGCAGGTACATGAAAAAATGTTCAACATCATTAATCACTAATTTTAAGGAAATGCAAGTTAAAACCACAATGAGATATCACTTCATGCTTGTTAGAATGGCTATTTTCAAAAAGACAAAAGTCAAATATCAACGAGGAACTAGAGAAAAAGGAGCTCTTGTACACTGTTGATGGAAATGTAAATTGGTACAGCCACTATGGAAAACAATATGCAGTTTCCTTCAAAAATTAAGAACTAGCAACTGATCCAGCAATGCCACTTCTGGATATATATCCAAAAAAAACGTAAAAATACTAGCTCAAAAGATATATGCATCCCCATGTTCATTGCAGCACTATCTACAATAGCCAAGACATGGAAACATGTCCTGAGTGTCCATGGACACGTGAATGGATCACACACACACACACACACACACACACACATATACACATTTATGATTATCAAAATTATTGTCAAAATTTCAGTGGCATTTTTCACAGGAAGAGTCATTATTAGCCATACAAAAAAGAAGGCAATCATTTTCCTGCTACTTACAACAATATAGATGGACCTTGAGGGCATTACACTAAGTGAGATAAATCAGAGAAAGACACATATATACTGTATGAACTCACTGTGGGATCTAAAAAAGTTGAACTCATAGAAATACAGAGTAGAATGGTAGTTGCCAGAGGGTGGGATAAATGAGGAGATGCTGATCAAGTGTACAAACCTAGTTATAAGATGCATAAGTTCTAGGGATCTAATGTATAGCATGGTGACTACAATTAACAATACTGTATTATACTTCAAAGTTGTTAACAGTGTAAATTGTCATAGTTATGCACATACGAAAACAGTAGTAATTATGTGAGGGGATGGAAGTGTTAACTAACTTTATTATAGTAATTATTTTGCAATATATATCAAATAATCACATAGTACACCTTGAATTTCATGTTTTATATAAGTAATATCTCAGTAAAGCTAGGGGAAAACATACATATAAAATCAGATATTTTATATGTATTTGCTTATATTGATATATTTTATGTACTATATGGGCTTTCTAATATGTGATATATATAATTTCTTATATACATATGAAAAACATTTTATTTCATTATATTCCATTTCATGTAAAATATTTAATTACACACATATACATATATTTGTATATATATCACACAGACACATATATATTCTAATATATATAATTTGTACATAATTTTAATATAACATACATTATATTATAAATATAATTTATATCTATTTTAAAAATGATAAAAAATAACTAACTTCCTAGAACAAGCCCACACTTTTTGCTACCATGGCCAACAGATTAGTTTACACACCAGGAATTAAGCAAACAAATAAATACATAAGGATTTCGGTAGGCAGTTTTCTCACTGTTGGAGAAGGGAATTACACGTATAAAAGGAAGAAAGATTGCAATAAACTCCAGTAATGTGGCTGGAAATTAGAGGTGATGGTATGAAATAATTTGTACTTTACATAGATAAAAAGAAAAATATAAGTATAGGTATATGTGTGTGTTTATGTTGATATGTTTCCTAGTTCTGTCCCCCGAGAGAGTCTAAATGCAATAGTACCACAGTAGCTATGAACACACCTAACACTCGAACTTTGATATTTAAATACCATTTTCCACTGAAAGGAACTATGGCTCCATGGTGTAGTGGATGAACCTGTAATAATTTGCTGTGCAAGAAAATAAGGTACTTAAAGAATTATGGAGACATGTCAAAAGAATATAGGAGCCTTGAGGGTTGGCCAAATCTAGAACAATATAAGCATCAAAATAAATAATGACAGCAACAAGTTGCAAACTTTGAGTAAAACAGAAATCAATGAGTTCATGGTGGTAGAAAGAAAAAAAGGAGAAAGGAAAGCTCTACCAGTAGGATACAACTAATAGATGAAGAAAAAAGATAGGATTAGAAAATCACCATTTTGCAACCATCATTGTAACTGATTCAAGCCAGAATCATCAATGGATGCTCAAATTTGTGAGTAAAAGTTTGATGAGGAACAAGATATTGACAGAGTCTCTATGTATGTCCCCAAAA